TGAGCAGGGAGCCAGATGTAGGGCTCCATCCTAGGACCCTGGAATTACCACCTGAGCCAAAGGCAGCTGCTTAACCAACTGAGCCACCCAGGCACCCCTTTTCATTCTTTACTGTGCCACTTAATTTGTGAATGCCCTAAATACTGTATGTTTTCATATATCCTCCAGAAGTTTCTCACCCAGGGGCGCCTGGATGAATCAGTCATTGGGCGTCTACCTTCGGCTTAGGTCATGATCCCAGGGTCCTGGGATTGATCCCTCATTGAGCTCCCTGCTCAGTGGGGAGCCTGGTTCTCCCTCTCCTACTCCCTGTGCTTGTATTCCCTCTCTCACTGTCTCTCTCTCTTTGTCAAATAAATAAATAAAATCTTAAAAAATAAATAAAAAGTAAATAAAAGTTTCTCGCCCATACAAACTACATTATCATAAGGATATTATTATGTCTAAATACTCTGTGTCCAGGTGAGCATACCCAAAAGACAACATTGTCACTCATCTTGGCTTGTATTTGGGGTAGGCAAACAACACTCTTAATTCATGCTGAGTTGTAAGAAAGTGGAAGTCGTGGGCACCTGGGTGGCTTAGTTGGTTAAGCGATTGCCTTAGGCTCAGGTCATGATCCCGGAGTCCCGGGATTGAGTCCCACATCAGGCTCCCAGCTCCATGGGGAGTTTGCTTCTCCCTCTGACCTTCTCTCCTCTCATGCTCTCTCTCACTCTCTCTCAAATAAATCTTAAAAAAAAAAAGAAGTCATGTACCAACCTGCTGGACAGCTTAGAACATAACCTCTGACATTTCTCAGGAAGCAAACACAAAAGCCATCATAAAAATTATGTATTTTTAAAAAATGTGTATTTTAGGTGGATTTATTCTAAATAAATTAGGAAATTAAATAGGAGGCTACTTGGGCTTGGAAGTTGACAGTGCAGGGCCACTTAGCATTGGTTTCCAGTGTAAAGGCCTTTTATAAAGCAGTGACTCTAGTCTAGAATATATAATCCTGAATATTGTAACCACATTCTTTGCATGTTATTTGTCGTATAAAAATAACTTTCCTCTTCACAGTTTATTTTTCCTTTGTGGCACATTTTGAACTGCAGAATCCTTTATCTACCATTTGGCTTTCCATAAGCTATCAGGCAGGATCTCTGTGAGATTCTCTACTTTGAGAAACTATGTGCCTAATATTTATTTATGATATGTGACTCATTATTACATTATTATGTGTTTTCAAAATAGTGTCTGATAATTCAGTGCCTTTTAACAATAGATAAAATGTTTCTAAAGACTTTTTCCAGAAATTCAGATGTTTCTTGGGGCACTTCCCAATCTTCATTGGATTTATGGTTGGTGTTTTTTCAGAAATAAGGGACTAAACTAAAATTTCCATAAGTTTTTTTTTGTTTGAATTTTACAGTGTAACTACTCGTTGAGGTAAACATTTGTGTCTACTCAGTACTCATCCTTGTTTAAAACTTTTGTGACTGAGATGTCCTTAGGCTTATAGTAAATTGGCTAGCTTCAGTGACCTCTCTCTGGCCTTTGAAGTTGGCACAGTCCATTATAGCTACCTAAGGGTTGTGTGGCTATGGAAAAACATGTTTTTGTTGTTGAGTGTTCTTGCTTTCTAGTAATTTTATTTTCTGCTCAAGGGATTTAGTATCTGTTCAGATATTTTATTTTTAAAGGCCACATAAGTAATGACTTAATCTCTAATCTTAGCTTTGAAAATTTCCCAGACACTAATAAAGGTAATGTCTGATGACCTATTACATGAAAATATACTACTCACTGGCCAGCAATCAGTGTTATTTAAAAATGTGTATTTTATTCTGAAAATTATTTCTATGGCTAAAAGGCTTTGTTAGTAAAATTGTGCCTCTAATAACATAATTTGGTGACTTTGGGCCTAGATTTATAGTAACTTTTTACTGTTATCACTGAGACTTAGTATAGTTTAAAACACTTTGCTCTTCAAAAACTACTTAATTCTTTTTTTTTTTAAGATTTTGTTTATTTATTTGAGAGAGAGAGCGCGTGCGCGTGCACAAGCAGTGTGAGAGGCAGAGGGAGAGGAGAAGCAGACTCCCCACTTAGTGAGGAGCCCAGCATGGGGTTTGATCCCAGGACCTGGAGATCATGACCTGAGCTGAAGGCAGCTGCTTAACTGACTGAGCCACTCAGGCTCCCCTGTACTAAATAGTTCTGAGAAAAATATTCAATAAATCATAGTCTCACCAGAAACAGCACCTGTCTCTTGGACTAATAAGAATTTTTGGTCACAAAATGTTCTATAGTAATCCTTATTTTGCATGAATATGCACTATCTTGGCAGTGACTGTATGAGTAAGATTTTAACGAAGGATCAACTTACTGCTGAAGACCAGGGTTATCGGTTAAATCATGTGGACTGTCCACGTAAGGACATTAACAAGCTTGATTATTAGTGGAGTGAAAGAGAACTTTACCGGGTTGTATTATATATGACAGGGTGTATTCATAAAGAAGAGGAACAGTTTTCTCCCACTGGTCTGGACAAAGCTGGAGTTGCCATTTGTGGTCTGTCTTTACTTGTTTCATATCTATAATAACAGATCCTCTTGGTAAAAACCCACCCTAGGCACAGTGATGGTTTTTTGTTTGTTTGGCTTTGTGTTGTTGTTGTTGTTTGTGGTTGGTAGAGAAAACTGCACATTGCTGCCTTGATATGTTTTCTTACTTGGCATTCTGTTAAAGGGAGATATACAGGTCAGTGGAACAGAATAGAGAGCCCAAAAGTAAACCCATGCATATATAGTCAATTTATGACAAAGGAGACAAGAATGTACAGTAGGGAAAGAGTAGTCTCTTCAGTAAATGGTGCAGGGAAAACTGGATCACAATCTTACTTCATATTCAAAAATTAACTTAAAGTGCCTTAAAAACTTCAGTGTAAGACTTTAAGCCAATAAAACTCCTATAAGAAAATATAGGTGGTAAGCTCCTTGTGTTAGTCTTAGTGAGGTTTTTTGTTTTGTTTTTGTTGTTTGCATCTAACTCCCAAAGCAGGGGTAATAAAAGCAAAAATGAATGAGTGGGACTACATCAAACTAAAAAGCTTCTGTACAGCAAAGGGAACTGTTAACATAATGAAAAGGTAAACTGCTGAATGGGACAAGATATTTGCAAATCATATGTCTGATAGGGGTTACTGTCTAAAATATTACGAAGAACTCATACAACTCAACAACAACAACAAAAAATCCAGTTAAAAAATGGGCAGAGGATATGAATAGATGTTTTCCAAAGAAGACATACAGATGGCCAAAAAACATACGATGAAACACATACCTGCTCCCTCCACATGCACATAGGAATAGTACTCAGCCATAAAAAATAATGAAATATTGGCATTTATGACAACATAGATGTAGCTAGAAGGTATCAGTCTAAGTGAAATAAGTCAGAGAAAGACAAATACCAAGTGATTTCTCTATCAGTGGAGTCTAAAAAAACAGAACAGAGAAAACAAAACCCAGACTCATAGATGCAGAGTTTAGGGGTGGGGAGCGGTTGGGGTGCAAAAATTGGTCAAGGGGATTAAGAGGTTCAAATTTCCAGTTATAAAATAACTTCAGTCTTGGGGATATAATGTACAGCATGGGGAATACAGTCAATAATAATATATTAACTTTATATGGTTAGAGATGATAACTAGACCTACTTGGTAATCAGTTTGTATATACAAATATTGAATTGTATATACAAATATTGAATCACTGTGTTGTACACGTGAGACTGTTAGTGAGACTAATAGAATATTATTTGTCAAAAAAAAAAGAATATTATTTGTCAACTGTACTTCAATAAAATCAACAACAAAAAGAAATGAAGTTTAGTTCTTTGTTGCTAAATTCTAAGTTATAAAAGTGAAGACACTATCTGCCTAATTAATTTCAGCCTTTATTTTTTTTTTTTTTAAAGATTTTATTTATTTGACAGACAGAGATCACAGTAGGCAGAGAGGCAGGCAGAGAGAGATAGAGGAGGAAGCAGGCTCCCCGCTGAGCACAGAGCCCGATGTGGGGCCAGATCCCAGGACTCCGGGATCACGACTGGAGTTGAAGGCAGAGGCTTTAACCCACTGAGCCACCCAGGCGCCCCTAATTTCAGCCTTTAATGGAAATGTGTTATAGCCTAGTTGGACACTCGATTCCAGTAGAAGGGAAATAATTCATTCACTTTTTTGAGGATAGAAAATAGTTATTCTTCCTTTCTCTACAGCAAAAATCATGAGCGTATGTTCACAAAACGTATTCAGTGTTAATTTTTAAAGTTTCCGCATATTTCCACTCTCATCAGTTGTAAATAATGTATCTGACTATAAAATGGAAAAAGTTGAAATTTTCCACTTATGCATTTTGAGCTTCTCAGAGGTATTATAAACTCTGGAAATAATAATAAAAGATACTAGGCTTTATACAGTGCTTTTTGTTTGAGGAGCTCCTATAAACACTAATGCATTGATCCTAACACAGTACTTGATTGTGACTTTAAAAGGTCATGAGTTAGTGCTGTTACAAAAAAAAAGTTTAAAAAGATTGGAGGGGGAGCTCTAACTTATAAATATTGTTTAAAAAATATCTAGATAAAAGTTGATCTAGACAATAGAAAAAATAAAAATTAAGGGAGATTTTTATTATTTAACTTTTCTCTTAGTCTGTGATAGATTTTTATCCCTTTAATTTTTTTTTCATTTATTTATGAATCTTAAAGTCTGATTCCCTTCTTAGAGTAGTAAGCAGAATTGTCTTTTAAACTTTTAGTTCTTCTCAGCCAAGGCTTAAACCTGTGATGGTTTTCTGAGTTTGTCACATTAACATAGCAATGCATTTTATTGGTCCTGAATTAGATCATCATTGTTTTAATTTTCTTAGTTTAATATTTATGGTATGTAGCTGTTGATTTTGTTGATTATGGTGGTCATGTGGCTTAATACTCAACTTTTTTGTGTTTTGTAGGTTTATTCTTCAGTCCAAGGAGGTAATTCACAGTCAACTGTTAGAGAAACAGAAAATAGCAGAGGAAAAAATTAAAGAATTAGAGGTAAGTTTTAAGTGAATATTGACAGTAAATTTTAAGAAAAAGCTAATTATCTCACTATGTGATGTTAAGTGAAAACGTATGCCTGCCAAAGTCAGGTAACATTGTTTTTATTTTTTCAAATTGTGTTAGAATAATAAATCAATCATATGCATGGCAGTGTGTAAGATTCCACCCCTCTCCCTGCAAAGGAAAGAAAAAAGGAGGGAAGGAAGGAAGAAAACAGAATAGTCTCTTGGAAATTTAGAGAGTTTTGAAGATGGGATGCTGTTAATCTGAATGTATTTTCTCCATTGCCTTCAAAAGAACATGTCTGTTTTTTAAAAACAAAGCAGGGGTGCCTGGGCATCTCAGTAAGTTGGGTGTCCAACTCTTGGTTTGTCCAACTCTTCAGTGTGGTGAGATTGAGCCCTGCATTGCGCTCCCTCCTCAGCACGCAGTCTGCTTAGGTTTCTGTCTCCTTCTGCCCCTCCCATTCGTTCTCTCTCTCACTCCTGCTCTCTCAGTAAAAATAGAAAAATCTTTAAAAAAGTGGGGGGGGGGCACCTGGGTGGCTCAGTCGTTAAGTGTCTGCCTTCAGCTCAGGTCATGATCCCAGGATCCTGGGCTTGAGCCCTGCATTGGGCTCCCTGCTCCGTGGGAGGCCTGCTTCTCCCTCTCACACTCCCTTTGCTTGTGTTCCCTCTCTTGCTGTCTTTCTGTCAAATAAATAAAATCTTTAAAAAAAAAAAAAAAAAGGAAAACACAATGTATGTTTAAACACCACATATTGTGGTGGGTTGGCATGAGAGTGGATAATGATAATAGTATTTAAAGGGTCTTGATGTTTGTCTCTTACGTATTGTAATTCATTTAACGTAGATAGGTATAACTATCTGAAGGATGGTGCTGCAATGAGGAAAACAGTTCTTTTCTCTCCTTTTTTTTTTTTTTTTTTTTGCTAGGGAAAAAGGTGATGACAGAGTAACTTAGTAAATTCTTGGATAATTGGAATTTATTACATTTTCCATATACATTAAGACCTTTGATGAGATATTCTTCTTGGGCTTGAGTAGAAGGTCCATCCTATATATAGTAAAAGTTGGCCTGGGCAAAAGACTGGTTGTTATTTCTTTGGGGCCAAGATTTCCTGAAATGGGGGTGGTTGCGATGACTTCATAGGTCACTTTATCTAATTTTTCTGAGTACTGTTTGAGGCAGTAGTTCAGAATCTGACTCAGCCCTTTACGGAATTGGTGAGACACCCCCTGTATCCTCCCGGGGATTTCTTACGGGCACCAACTTGGCACGGCCTGACTGTGTAGTGTCTTAGGTTACTTAGGTTTATTTTTGACTACTGACCATAATTTAAACAAACTTGATAATAGATTTATAGCTTAGAAAGGTGTATTGTAAAAACAAAACAATTAAGCATACAAACAAAAGACAAAAAAAAGAAAAACTTAACTTTTAGTGACCAGGTTGTTATTGTGTCCTATTTTATCATTCTTGTTAGCCCAACTGTTCTAGATTGAATTTTATATCTTCTACTGTTCTCAAAGTAACTTTTTTTTTTAAAGATTTTATTTATTTATTTGACAGACAGAGATCACAAGTAGGCAGAGAGGCAGGCAGAGAGAGGAGGAAGCAGTCTCCCTGCTGAGCAGAGATCTCGATGTGGGTCTTGATCCCAGGAGCCTGGGATCATGACCTGAGCTGAAGGCAGAGGCTTTAACCCATTGAGCCACCCAGGCACCCTCAAACAAAGTAACTTAAAAAAACTCGAAATAAAACTATTTCATGTAGATAAATGAAAACCTGTTTTTGCAGCTGTAGGTAAATACATCTAAAAATTATCCTGATGAATAAGTAACCAGATGTAAAGTACTGTGTATATGACTCTCTTTTTATGAAAACACAGAAAGTAAGAGCTCTATATAAACATTCAAAATGATATGTCAGGGGGGCGCCTGAATGGCTCAGTCTCTTAAGCATCTGCCTTCAGCTCAGGTCATGATCCTGGTTCTGGAATCGAGGCCCTCGTTGGGCTCCTGAGGAGGGAGCCTGCTTTTCCCTCTCCCTCTGGTGTTCCCCCTGCTTGTGCTTTCTCTCTCTCTCTGTCAAATAAATCTTTAAAAAAAAAAAGATATGTCTGTATATGTATTACATTAACCCTGGTTACCCTAAGGAAATTAGGTGGGATATGGGCATGAAATTATTTTTTTTCTTCCAATCTTTGCATTGGATAAATTATAGCAAGCACGTGTTAACTTATATAATTGAAAAGAATATTATGGTAAAATTGCCACAGATGATGATTTTAGCATACTGTTCAGTTTTGATGAATATTAGGATTTTTTTTTTTTTTTTAAAGCTTGAAGTCATGATCCTGACATCAAGACCTGAGCTGAGATCAAGTGTTGGACGATTAACCAACTGAGCCTCTCAGACACCCCAGGAAATTTTTTCCCCCAAGTTACCTTTTTTTGGAGTTTCTCAAATATTGGTAGAGTATCCTGAATCTGCCAGATAATAGAAATAGATTAGCTGGCTTGTTGGTACTATTTGAAAGGCTAATTGCAGCTACAAAAACTTGCACAGTTAAATCTTCTTTCCTAGAACATTTCATTGTGTTTTTTTCTTTTTAATCTTTTATTTTACATGTTTTTTAATATGACAAAAGCATTATAATATGTACTGTAAAAAAAAGAAAAATAGCCAATAAATACAGCATGATTAAATGAAGATGGTGTTTTTCCCTCTTCCCTGCACATGCCCAAATGTCACCTCTGCAGTTTGGTGTGTATCATTCCAAACTTTATTTTATAAGCACATTCATACACATATATATACTTTTTTAAAAACAACTTTATTTTTTAAAAAATATTTTTATTTGTCAGAGGGAGAGAGGCAGGCAGAGGGAGAAGCAGGTTCCCCATTGAGCCAAGGAGCCCAATGCAGGACTCGATCCCTGGAATCATGACCTGAGCCAAAGGCAGACACTTAACCAATTGAGCCACCCAGGTGTCCCTATACCTTTTTTTTTTTTTTAAGATTTTATTTATTTATTTGACAGAGATCACAAGTAGGCAGAGAGGCAGGCAGAGAGAGAGGGGGAAGCAAGCTCCCTGCTGAGCAGAGAGCCCGATGTGGGGCTCGATCCCAGGATCCTGAGATCATGACCTGAGCCGAAGGCATTGGCTTTAACCCACTGAGCCACCCAGGTGCCCCGCTATACTTTTTTTTTTTTTTTTTTTTTTAAATAAAGAGGAGTTATGCTGTATATACTGGTTTTCATCATTTGACAGTTTATCTTTCCATTTCTAGTTTATATTTTCCACTTTCTTGTTTTCTACTTTTCTTATCGTTGTAGGTTACCCAGTATTTAATTAATTGCATGATCCCTATCTCTGCATTTTGTATACTTTCCAATACTGCCCTAATATGTATTTTTAATAGTATCTCCCACTACACCCTCTCTTCTCTCCCCTTCAGTAATCCTATACTTTGCACTGCCATACTCTTTTTTTTTTTTTTTTTTAAAGATTTTATTTATTTATTTGTCAGAGAGAGAGGGAGAGAGAGCAAGCACAGGCAGACAGAATGGCAGGCAGAGGCAGAGGGAGAAGCAGGCTCCCTGATGAGCAAGGAGCCCGATGTGGGACTCGATCCCAGGATGCTGGGATCATGACCCGAGCCGAAGGCAGCTGCTTAACCAACTGAGCCACCCAGGCGTCCCTGCACTGCCATACTCTTATAGTTTTGTTACCTCAGCCCGAAATGTATGCATGTACACAAGCCCACATGTGCACTAATGCACACATACATTGTTAATTGTAGTGTTCAGATTCTGTGTTTCTTACTGATTTTTTTTCTGATTATTCATTTAATTATTGAGAGAGATATGTCAAATCTCCATGGTGTTACATACCAGTTTTTCCATCTTTTAGCTTAGTGGGCACTGGTGTTTAGAGATCACTCTCTGTGTAGTTAAGTGCTCATTATTATTGTATACATAGTTTGGAGGATAGGTTTCATTTTGCTTTACATATCTGGGAATTTCTCACGTCTTTTAAAGATAATATTCCACTGACTTCTGGCTTCTGTTGTTGCTGTTGAGAAGTCATCTGTCAGCTTAATTGTTGTTCCTTTGTCTTTTTTCTCTGGTTACTTTTATGTATTTATTTAAAAGATTTATTTATTTGAGAGAGCCTGCACACGAGTAGGAGATAGAGTAGAGGAAGAGGAAGAGGGAGAATCCTCAAGCAGACACCCCGTTGATTGAGGAGCCAGACATGGGGCTGGATCCTAGGACCTTGAGATAGTGACCTGAGCCAAAACCAAGAGTTAGCTGCCCAACCGGCTGATCGACACAGGCACCCCTCTGGTTACTTTCTTTCTTTCTTTTTTTTAAAGACTTTATTTCTTTCTTTGAGAGAGAGAGAGATAGTGAGAGAGAATACGAGCGGGGGTAGGGAGAGGGAGAAGCAGGCTCCTTGCTGAGCAGGGACTCTGATGTGGGGTTTGATTTCAGGACCCTGGGACCATGACCTAAGCCAAAGGCAGATGCCTAACTGACAGAACCATCCAGGTGCTCCCACTCTGATTGCTTTTAATATTCTCTTTGTCTTTCATGCTTTGTGGTTTCTTTGGGATATGTTTAAGTGTGGAGTTAGTCTTTTTATTATTTTCTTTTCTTTTTTTTTTTTTTTAAGATTTTATTTATCTGACAGATTGAGAGAGCACTAGCAGGGGGGACAATAGGGAGAGAGAGGGAGAAGCAGACTCCTGCCGGAGCAGGGAGCTAGATGCGGGGCTCTATCCCAGGACCATGGGATCATGACCTGAGCCAAAGGCAGATGCCTAACCATCTGAGCCACCCAGGTGCCCCATACCCATATTTTCTTAATCCTACTTGGTTTAAGTTGGGTTTCCTGAATCTGAGGATTAAGATCTTCCATCAGCTCTGGAAAATTCTTTTTTTTCTCTTTCTTTTTAAAGATTTTATTTTGTTTTTTAGAGAC